ATCTTGATATTTCGTATTAATATTAGTACAAATTAGTTAATCGTTTACTTAATACCTTCCATTTCATTACGTACAATACAATGAATCTCCGTTATATACGTGAGCAGAAAGTCAGCCAGGTTACCGGATGCGTTCCTGAATGAGCCCATTGTTAATGGCAAAGATTGCTCCTGAAAGATATGATTGCTCGTTTTTCCGGTCTTAAGTGTATTTTAAAAAAAAGAAAATAAGAAGGCGAAAAGTTATCTGACTAAAGATGAAAATTTGTATACAAGTTTTAATTAAATCCACGAATAATATACATTCCACGTTACTTATGTTAGCCTTTGCATTTTGATCATTAACATTATATTATTATTAACAAACTATCTTGTAATTTATTGTTTACAGAGGGTAAAGTTGAAGTTTCGAGAGATGGAAAATATTTGAGCAATTTAACTCCAGGCAAGGTCCTTGGTGAATTAGCAATCCTTTATAATTGTAAAAGAACAGCAACGATAACTGCTGCAGTTGACTGTAGACTATGGGCAATAGACAGGCAAAGTTTTCAAACTATTATGATGAGGACAGGCCTCACAAAACAGGCCGAATATACCGACTTTTTAAAGAGGTAAGTCACTGTTTTAAACCTCGTTTTTTAAAAAAGAAAAATAATATCAGCTTAAATAATTTTTCGTTTTGTTTTTTAGTGTACCTATTTTCAAGAATTTACCTGACGAAGCTTTGACAAAAATTACCGATGTTTTAGAAGAAGTAAGTAAATACTTGTTTACAACATAATGACAAATTTGTATTAGGTGTAGCAATTAATTCGGTGCCTTTTAAATAAATTAAGTGCTTATTTATGAATATTGAATTTAATATCAAAGCAACGAATTAATTGTTATACCTAATAATTATAATTTTTAAAATATATACGTATTTAAATTATTAATATTTTTCTTTTGTTTTTTTTTTAAAGACCACCTACAACAACGGCGATTATATAATTAGACAAGGTGCCAGGGGTGATACCTTTTTCATTATTAGTAAAGGACAAGTACGAGTTACCATGAAGCAGAAAGATTCCGCAGAAGATAAATTTATTAGAACGTTACGCCGTGGTGACTTTTTCGGAGAAAAAGCTTTGCAAGGGTAAAAACACATTGACTTTAAATTTTTGTTTATGTTTTATTAAATAACAAAACATAAATCTTCATAATCTTTGATTTTTATTAATACGTGTTTCGATATATAGCGATGACCTGAGAACTGCAAACATCATTGCAAACGATGTCGATGGTGTCACTTGTTTAGTCATAGATCGTGAAACTTTCAACCAATTGATCTCTCCTTTGGACGAGATAAGGAAGAAATACGAAGATGAACTCGTGGAAAGACGAAGGTCAGTCCTCCAAATATTTTATACTATGTTTTTGTTAATGTTCCACAAAAAAAAGAAATATATATAAAAAATGTATAATTTAATTACTTAATCGCGACATTGATAATACTACAATTGTTATTCCATGCTTGCGTTTTGGAATAGGAAAACAAAACGTATGAAGGATAGTAGTAAGTTTGATATATATTTTTAAAATCAAGATTACTCGATGTATTAAAGTTTACTTAGCATGACAATAATAATATATTTAGACGATATATTCATTTTATAATAATATAAATTATATGCAATTATTTAGATTGGACGATGAATTCCAAAATGTTCAATTGCACCATCTACGACGGATTGCTACCCTTGGGGTTGGTGGATTTGGTCGTGTCGAATTAGTTCAAATAGCTGATGACAGCTCCCGAGCGTTTGCTCTTAAACAGATGAAAAAGGCACAAATAGTCGAAACCCGACAGCAACAACATATAATGTCGGAGAAACGTATAATGAATGAAACGAACTGTGACTTTATTGTCAAGCTATATAAAACGTTCAAAGACGATAAGTATTTGTATATGTTAATGGAAGTCTGCCTAGGTGGAGAGCTTTGGACAGTTCTCAGAGACAGGGGACACTTTGATGATCCTACTACTCGATTTTACACTGCATGCGTCGTTGAAGCTTTCGACTATTTACATTCACGAAATATCATTTATCGTGATCTCAAACCGGAGAATCTTCTACTTGATAATGAAGGGTAAGAATATACACGTCGTATGTTTATTAAGCATAAATAACTCTTTTAAATCTCATCCAGTGAAAGTTAAATAGTAAAGGTGTCATGATTTAAAAATGGACATAAAATGAAGTATACTTATCGGGGATCTATAATAATAAATCTTCGTCAAAATACTTACTTACTTTCATTGAACTCTTACGTTGCGTTATATAATGTATCTTCAGGTGACTGTAACTATCAATCACTGGAAGAAAATCTTGAATTGTAAACCATAATCGATAATGTTTTTATTTCTTCTTATAGATATGTCAAAGTTGTGGACTTTGGATTTGCTAAAAGATTAGATCATGGAAAGAAGACATGGACTTTCTGCGGTACACCTGAATACGTTGCACCGGAAGTTATCCTTAATAGAGGTCACGATATAAGCGCCGACTATTGGTCTCTTGGTGTCCTTATGTTTGAACTTCTTACTGGAGCGCCGCCTTTCACTGGTTCTGATCCTATGAAAACTTACAATATTATTTTAAAAGGCATTGATACCATCGACTTTCCGAAGATCATAACACGTAACGCTTCTGTCCTCATTAAAAAACTTTGCAGGTAATCTTCGTACTATTATTGCATATATAATACATTTCAATCATTGGCGACTCGTAGCTTGCAATTGTGGGACTGCTGCAACTCTTTCGAAATATATTTTATTATATACGCTGTAAATACAATAAATAAGTGTTTGGAAAGAATATCAAAATTATAGTAATAAAATATTGTTTATTGTCAATAAAATTATATAGGTGAATATAATTCAAAATTACTATAACTTTTTCCTTGGTATTTGTGTAACTATCGAAAAAATGATGAAATTGCATGACGGACATTACCGCATTACTCTAATATCTTGCATTTCACGTGCATTTGATTACTCGTCAAGACGGATTGTAATTATTATTAATAAAAAATGTGAGAATTGTTGTCTAAGATGATAAAATAAAATATAAATAAATTATTAAATATTTTCTCTTACATGTCGAGTAAAATTGAGGATGCTGCAGTCTCGCAATGCCTATGCACGAGACACCTTCAATTGAAATCAATTAAAACATTGAATATTTTTCAGAGATAATCCAGCGGAACGGCTCGGCCACCAGAAAGGAGGCATTAGCGAAATTCAAAAGCACAAGTAAAAAAAATCACTAGATATCATTGAAATTTCATATATAGACAATCCAAAACAGTAAACGTTGCGGTAATTATTGTTCTAATTATATTTGTTGTTTCATTATTTGTTTAGATGGTTCGATGGCTTCAATTGGGAAGGCCTAAGACTACGAACATTAGATCCACCGATTAGACCTCGTATTCGTGCACCTATTGATACTTCAAACTTCGACGATTACCCACCAGACACTGATCCAACACCCCCAGATGATCTTTCCGGATGGGACGCTGATTTTTAATAACATTAATGCGAATATCACAAAATATAAAATGTTCCAATTTGTTTGACGCGAGTATTTCCTAATACATTAAGCCATATTTGACGGGGATGTAACAATAATCTGGAATGTATTAAGAATTGTTTGATGTGCAAAGATTATATGAAAATCATATTGATCGTTCTGTTGACATGATTAAACGATTAAATCTACATGTCGCATCGCACATCTAATGATTCTTATTGAATTAGATTAGATTTTAATTCCTATGATTTTAATGTAGTTAAATTTAATTAAAAATTTTAAATTAAATTCAGTAATAATAATAATAATAATAAATTCTTAATGATTTTATATATGTATAACACAAAACTGTTCTTAATCAATTTGTAAACAAATTTATTTTATCAACAAAATATTTATAAATAATAAGTCATACGTATTGCAATGTTAATAATAACGCGCGCCTAGATAACAAAATAATTACCAATGTAAATTCATCTGACCATACAAGTTGTATGTACATACGATCTTATAGAACTTAAAATAAGCATTAACAATAACATTATTATAAAAAAAAAATACACATTATGCTGTTGATTTTTAATCGAATTTTAAATCTATAACATCTCATCATGCAAAACCTCTTTGTTTTACGCAATAACATTCCTCAAATTCATTTATGTTTGAAAGTTTTTTTATTCCATTGTTAATATTCCTTTTCTTTTAATTTCATCAATAAATTATGTTGTGTTTGAAAATATTTAAATTATTTAACAGTATTTATCAAGTTTACTTAAAATTTATGTAAGAAAAGAGTTTTTAAATTTATTTATTATTTAAAAAATATATAACTCATTTTGTCTGTCTTTATATATTGTTTGAAAATGTATTTTTTAAAATACATATAGAAAATATATTTGCATGTTTTATAAGATACATTATAGAAAAAAGATTATGTAAATACTGTAAGAACGTTATAAAAAAAAACTATTCGCGAAAATAGTTCAAAAGAAGTATTCCCCATTTTAATCCTTTCACTGTCTATGAGATATTTATACAGTTAATTATTTCAAAATTTAATGAATTTCTTATAAACGTATTGTAAATTAGAAGAATAAATATAAATAAAATCAATTATTAAAAAGAATATATATATATTTGTTATATTGGTTTTTCTAATTGAAAAATACAACTATTAAAAAATTGTTCCTTATTGTTTTATATGTGTGACATTTATTATAGATATCGATCTGTTCAATTAGAAGTATTTATAAGAAAGTAAGAAAATATTTAAAAAAAACCTAATAAAAAGAATTAAGAAATATTTTTAACATTAATTTGGATTTATTTAAAAAAACAAAATAAAGACAAAATTGATGGAACACTTATATACACGCATGTGTATTTAAAATATCATATAAAATATTTAAGTATGCACAGACGTTAGTATGACTCACAGGATAATGTCAATTGTCTACGATGCTGCAACTATGATTTTATAAGCGTTTTAGTATCGGTAAAACTCAAAAAGGACTAATCATGAACGAACATGATTTACGTGATGGGGTAAATGATATTTTTTATTTAATTTAACACAATTTAATACAATTCATTTCGATATCCTTTAATATTAGATGCACTTCTTATAGGTTAGGTTTATATGTCATACATTAAATACATATTTCATTCAAATTTGTTAATTTTATTTCTAATACAACTAAATCGTAGATATTTATATTCATATTGATATTTTATTATTACAGTCTTATTCATTTCAATTGTTTAATTTAAAGTCTCAATATTTTTCAAATTAACCTCAACGTGAACAATGTTTTAAATAAAATTTTCTTACAATTTCATTTCATTTAATAAAATGCCATTATTAACAGTTATATAAATGACGGATATGATTTATTTATTTATAGCCACCATTATTACAAGCAATATTTCATGGAGATCTAGACGAAGTTCGTACATTATTATCAAAACAAGAGGATATTAATTGGGCAGATCATGAACAACGTTCACTTTTACATGCAGCAGCATATACGTATGTATTATTTCCAATAGCTCATCTATTAATCAATTATTTCCGCGAAATGTAATATAATTTATAAATATTTTTATAGAGGAGATTCAAGTATCGTAGAAACTTTATTATTACATGGAGCATCAGTCAATGTTAAAGATAAAAAATGGTTAACACCATTACACAGAGCTTGTTGTTCAAACAAGCCTACTGTAGTAGATGTATTATTAAAATACAAAGCAGATGTAAACAATAGAGATCGAAGTTGGCAAACACCGTTACATGTGGCAGCCGCAAATAATTCTGTAGAATGTGTAGAACTTATGATCCCTTATGTGTTAAATATCAATGTAACAGACAGGTTTGTATTGCTCATAAAACATTCTTATGAATTATAAGTCTACTTGAATAATTTATTTAATATTTTTGTTCTTTTCTGTAGGGGTGGAAGAACAAGCTTACATCATGCTGCATATAACGGTCATTTAGAAATGGTCGAATGTTTGATTCAGGCTTGTTGCGTAGTAAATGCAGCTGATAAAAAAGACAGAAGAGCTTTGCATTTTGCAGCATATATGGGCTATGACAAAATTGTCAAATTATTAATTGAAAAGGGAGCTGACGTAGATGTTAAAGTAACATATATAATTCAATTACACTTCATTACTTGAAAGTATATTAGTGTTTCTTAGGATTACATTGTTTTTTATTTCTCTGTGTTAAGGATCGTGATTTATATACTCCACTACATGCTGCTGCTGCATCTGGCAATGTTGAATGCATGCATGCCCTTATCAAAGGTGGAGCAGACATTGAGTCAAAAAATGTATATGGCAATACACCTTTACATATTGCTTGTTTAAATGGACATGTAGATGCAGTTTCAGAACTCATTAGCAATAATGTTAATATAGGTATAGAATTATTTTATATTGATGCACATTTCAATTTTATACTTGATTACTAACATATACTATTCTGATTATTTAGAAGTTACAAATTACCAGGGTCAAACACCGCTTCATATTGCTGCTGCTAGTACACACGGCGTTCAATGTTTAGAAACGTTATTACATGCAGGATTAAGAATAGATGTTCAATCAGCAGATGGACGCACACCATTGCACATGACTGCGATTCATGGCAGATTTACTCGTTCAAAAAGTTTACTAGACGCAGGTGCATCGCCTAATATAAATGACAAAAATGGAAATACTGCCTTACATATTGCTGCTTGGTATGAAAATAAATTGTTCTTTATTGATATTTTGTTAATAACTATACTTACATTTAATTTATATATATTTATTTAATTCATCTATAATCAATTATAAACAAAGGTTTGGACATGAGTGTTTGACCACAACATTACTTGAATATGGAGCATCTCCAGCAGCTCGTAACACAACTCAACGTACGCCTTTACATCTTAGTTGTTTAGCGGGTCACATAGAAGTAAGTTTTTATTTAATTAGAAAATTTAATTAAATTATACTTAATTCTATTCTCATAACAGGTTTGCAGAAAGTTATTGCAAGTTGATAGTGAACTTATAGACTCAAAGGATTCAGGAGGTAGAACACCATTACATTTGGCAGCATTAAAGGGTTCTGTAGTTTGTCTTGATTTATTGTTATCTAGTGGAGCAAATTTTAGATTAACCGATAACGAAAATAAATTAGCTTTACATTTAGCTGCTGGTCAGGGTCACTACTTTTGTGTTTTTACTTTGGTCGGATTTGGTAGTGATTCTAATACCCAAGACTCAAATGGTGCTACACCTCTTCATTTAGCTGCAGCAGCAACCAATTGTTCATCAAATTCTTGTGCACAGTGTGTAGTTGTTTTATCAATCATTAAGAAATATGTATATTCAAAGTTCTGTTTTATGTATTTTTTTTAATCCTTCAGGTGTGTGGAATATTTATTAAAACATAGAGCAGATCCGCAATTAGGTGACAATCGTGGATTTACACCAATGCATTATGCAGTAACTGCTGGTAATCAATCAGCATTAGAATCACTGTTACAAGCCACACTACCAGCTATAGCTGCTGCCAAAAAAGAATCACAGTTACCCTTACTTACACCATTACATCTTGCGGTAAGACAAAAAAATATTTCATTAAATTTCAAGTAATATAAAATCATTTTTCAAATAGGCATACCATGGTCACAGTGAAATACTGAGGTTATTATTACCTTTATTTCCAAATACTAATATCAAAGAGGATAGTGGTAAAACGCCATTAGATTTAGCATCTTATAAAGGTCATGAAATATGTGTTCAAATGTTATTAAATTCCGGTGCTTCAGTTGCTGTTGAAGTAAGTTAAAATAGTTTACAATATAAATATTAAAATGATTTCGTTTATAACATATTCCTCTTGTTACTTGTATGCAACGTGGATTTATTTTATTCGAAGGATTCTGTTACTAAACGTACACCAGTACACTGTGCAGCGGCTACAGGTCATACTAAATGTTTACAACTTTTATTGGAAAAAACAGAAGATTTAAGTGTAATAAATCGTTATGATGCAAAACGACGGACAGCTTTAATCTTAGCTGTAGCTAATAGTAGAACGGAATGTGCAAGTTTACTTTTGAAATACAATGCAGATTGCAACTTACCTGATATGGATAAACATACGCCATTGTTTCGAGCAGTGGTCAATCCGAAAGATCAAGATATAGTAGATATGTTGTTATCACATGGAGCTCGCGTGGCCATTCAGGATACAAATGGAAAGACACCATTGCATTTAGCTGCTGCATGTGGAAGGTAAAAATATGTAAGCCTTTAATTAAAATTAAGATGTCTAACATGTATTTTTCTTCCTTTTTTCTTTTGCTTATTATAATCTATATTGATAGATTAAAAGCTTTAGCTGCATTAATTAACGCTGATCCAGTGGCAGCAACCTTAAAAGATGATCAAGGTTGCATTGTACTTCATTGGGCTTGTTACAATGGAAATTCTAATTGTGTAGAATATCTCTTAGAACAAAATGTTATTGATTCCTTAGAGGGTATGCATTATATTCCTTTGAAACAATAGATCATCGAGAACATGATATCTATGAATTATTTTTTCTATACTTCCAGGTAATCCTTTTTCTGCTGTTCATTGTGCTGCATATCAAAATTCCGCGCATTGCTTGGATATGCTGATAAATAAATTTGGTGGACAGGTAGTTGCATCGTTAAGAGATACTCCAGGTGGTCGACTTCCTTTACACGTTGCCGCTAGCGCAGGATCTGTTGAATGTGCACGACTTATTTTAAGTTCCGTTGGACCTGAATCAGCTGGGGTAGAGGACTTAGATCATTATGGTCGAACGCCACTACTGTGCGCTGCTGTTAATGGACAATGCAATGCTATCGGTAATTAGTTGTAAAAAAATTAATTCAAAACGAACAATGTTTTTTTGTCAATTATTTATGATAATAAAAATTATTGTAATAATAGAACTGTTACTCGAGTGGAAAGCTAATGTTCGTGCCGTTGATGCCAATAAGAATACAGCATTGCACTTAGCTTGCCAAAGACGTCACTCTTCTGCTGCTTTACTCCTTTTAGACTGGATTGCTTCAAGTAGTTGCTTAGAAAATGCTCAACAATTACAAGAACAACGTGTAGCAGTTATTAATATGACTAACAAACAACAGAGAACTCCTTTGCATTTAGCAGCAAGAAATGGTCTCGTAAGGGTAAGAATATAGGTTTATCGAAATGAATGATTTTTTCATTATAACAATGTTTGCATTATCATTTTTTAAACAATATACACACAGGCTATTTTATTATAGGTAACAAGAAAATTACTTGAATTAGGAGCAAGCGTTATTGCTGTAGACGCAGAGGGTCTTACACCAGCACTTGCATGTGCTCCGAGTCCAGCGGTAGCACGTTGTTTGGCTACTATACTTGCCGCTCATGGTAAATTTTTAAATCTTAAAAAAATCTAATATCAAAAAAATAACAAATTGACTTTTTCTTTTTTATATTTTGCTTTTTTGTGTTCAGGTCAACATTGGGAAACAACTCAACATTCACCGTCTATACAACAAACGTCAGAAGTTTATTTGAATGGGAGAAGTGGGGATTCACAACACAGTTCAGACTCGGAATTCTACTGACAGCAGGTAACACGCTTAGAACATCAAGCGTATCAAGATATAAATGCTGGTTCCATTCATGGTGACATTGAAACTGCCAGATTACTTTGGGCAAGCTGTTGGCTTTTTTCAGTTTTTGCATAATAATTCCTAGTTGTTGAAAGTAGGCAATACCGATGTGATAGTTAGCCTCAAACAAAAATTATCATGACAATACCCGTATTCACCCTATTAAAGCATTGAACCTACTCATTTCACAGGTAATTGATAATAAAAAATATCAATGATTATGTTTTTAAAATTTAAACGATCGGTTATTTAAACTTTTGTTGATAAGATAACATAAAAGCAAAAATAAGAAATAATTTCTATGCGTTGTACAAACGATAATTCTAAAATATCCTATTAAACATTTTATACAAGCAAAACTAAACAATTATATTGTAAAATGGTTTAAATAGTGCAAGAACTTTGAAACGGCTAGTTTAGAGTTAAGCTAATCGTGTGCCACACATTTGGCTTATAAGAAAATATTTTTTAAAGTAGTTATTATATTTTCTTAATTTTTAGATAAAATTATTACCGATTGTCAGTAAAAGAAATGTGGTAATTACACTCTATATATCTTATCAATTTTGTGTATTTACAAGTGACATAACAAAAAGAAGAATGTTGTTGAAATTAAGGAAATATTGATAACGCAGCCAAAAAAAAAAAAAAATAAAAAGAAAAAAGGGAAAAAAAGAAGAAGATATAAATTTAACAAAATTGTAGAATAATAAGATTATTTCGTACATGTATTATTGCCTATTCTAAATAGATCAAATAAATACCTTTTTTATTGTTCATTTGAAATAAAACTGAAGTGAACCTTATTGTTATAGAAATACATTTAGAATTAACGATTCCATATGTAAAAATGAAAAATTTAATTTTATTATATCATTTAAATATTTCTAATATAATTTATTTATCTAGAGAATCCCAAAAACAAGTAAGAAATACATATTAAGTCCTATTCTAATTGTTTCAACGGTATATTTGCTGTGCCTTTAAGAACAACTTTTAAAAAACAATGATAAATTTATTTTTTCTTTAAAATCTCATAACAATGTTTGTTACTAAAATAAATGAACAAAAACTCACTAAGGTAGATATATCGACGAGGAATCTCAAAAGCAATTTTTTATAATATATTATTAAGTCCTATTGTACATGTTTGTCCATTCATGTTAATGGGATTATTTCATCAATGCAGACTACTATGTACAGATATAATAGGACAATATAATAGGAGTAAATATTCAGCTATTTTCTTAGTCGTTTATAGTAAAGCTTAAACTGCCTAATGATGAATATTGGACCGTAAATTGTAATATTTAGGAACGACAAATGCATGTTTTTTTTTCTTTTTTTTTTTGGCATTGATTTTAATCAACACGTAGAATACTTTTTATCGATAGTATATTATTAAACAAAGTAATTAAATAGAATATTAATTAGCTCTTCTTATCTCATTATAACACTCGTACTTATACTTCTTTTTATAATGTGCATTTAAAAAATACAAGTAATACTAGAAATGTAAGTAGTGTATAACGCTATCATACAAAAATTTTATTTCAAGTACGTATTTATATTGTATATATTAAATGGCGTGGTCGCTTAACTAGGAAATTACATACATTGTAATTATTAATTCTGATAAATAAAAAAGAAATGAAAAAGTGAATGAATTTAGAACCAAGAAATATTCAATTTCTTAAATCCGTTTTTCAAATGATCTGTAAATGATCAAACAAGGAAAATAAAAGAAAACAAGATCATTTGTAGATAGCACTTTTGTCACTATATACTTTATATATTTATTATTAGCTAGTTACTAATACTTGTTACTTTTTTACTATAGGAATTTCGATTGTACTTAATTATATACATCGATAATTATAGTATAATAACACCAATAATATATATATATTTTTTTATTAGTGTTGATTATAGTATAATTATTATTTTATTGCATTTATTAACATAATACGGTTAATCAAAAGTTTAAAAAAAAAAAACTCTAACATCAAATCGAGCATCAGAATCCATTCCCCTATCTGTTACTATTATTATACATAAATATGTACAGAAACAAAAATCTTAACAATTTCCTTAAATACTAATTTACGTCATAAACGAAAAAGAAACAAATAATATCAACATTTTCGGTAAAATGATAAAATATCTACATTAATGTGTAGATATGTACACAAATAGATACATGTCTACATATATATACAAAATATATAATATCTTAGAAAATATCCATTCTTGGCAGTAATATTCTCTTTAAATGAGCTTTCCCAAGCTTATTTGTTTATTAAATTGGCTTAATCGATGATGATTTAAATATATATGTGATCCAGCACAATAGCATTCGTTACGGGATGATCTTTGTTTTGTTTTTCATCATCCTTAGATTCCCTCCTAACGTTATCAAAACTCATTTCAAAGCAAAAGTTATCGAAAGTATAAGGATTTTCAGTTGCATTAGAATCCTTTTCTTCAGAGATCGAAGTAAATTTCTGAAGAGTAATGTTCTTAGGTTGAGTGTGAATAAAAATACTCGAAAGTGCTTTGGAACCATTTATCTTTGGACCAATCTTTGAATTTTTTGTAAACTTGTTCTCGATGTCGTCCAAACTTTGACCTCGAGTTTCGGGTAAGAGGGTTACGGAAAATAGTGCTCCTAATAACCCTACTGTGGCAAACAACCACATCGTGTTTTCTATGCCAGCCATTATACTAACCTCAGGATACAACTTAATCGCAAAAAAAGTCAAGATTTGTGCTATACTCGTGGTGATACCTCCCAACGTTCCTCGAAGCCTAAGCGGATATAATTCTGAGGTCATAACCCAAGGTAACGTAAGGAAACCAATCATGGATAATGCAACATGACTTCCCATACAGATCAAAGAAACCCACGAAGGCAAATGGAACCTGAAATCAATACATATATTTATTAATATTTTTATCTTCAAACGCGTATTGTGTCTAAAAAAGAAAAATATTATGATTATGCATACCTGAAGGCCAGAGCAATACCAATAGCTGATAAAGCCATGCCAAAACCACTGATAAAAGCTAATGCTCTTCTACCAATGTTAATTGCCAAAGCCGCGCCAATTATCGAAGCAAATAGTCTGATCACACCGATACCAACACTCGCGGCATATTCGTTCACGCTCACACCAATATCTTCTAAGACACTAACAGCGTAAAACAACATTATATAAATTCCCGAAAGTTGTTGAAGAGTGAAGAAAAGGAAGAGTATAACGAATGGTTTCCAAACATTTGGCATGTAGAGAGATTTAAGAAGACTTTCTTTCTTTTCCGCCCTTTTTACATTTGCATTGCAAAGTTCTTGAAACTCGGTGTCCGTCGTTAAACTTGGACCCCGAAGCCACAATAATGATTCTTTTGCCTCTTCCATTCGTCCTCTGGATACAAGCCAGGCTGGTGTTTCGCGAAGCATTCTAATAAATAAATTTTACTTTTTTCCAAATCCTCCCTTAGATAACATTTAAAAAAGAAAATGCTTACCTTGTTAAGGCTAAAGATAGAATTGCTGGGGCTATACTGATCGCAGCAGACTTTTGCCATGTTGTTAAGGCACCTAACGTGTACACAATTAAAACTCCCAACGAGGTCAAGATTGGCCCACAATTTGCTAACCATGCTCTTTGATGTTGAGCAGCAGTCTAATGATACCATAATGTCATTTATACTTTGTAAATGATCGGGAAATATAAATAATAAATTGTCTTTATTTTAATTTTTTAACTTACCTCGCTGACGTATAAATACAGAGCATTTGCCATCCCTGTACCGATGCCACTGACAAACCTTCCGACGTACAGCATTGGTACATTTTTAGCGAATGCAATCAGAAGCCATCCTGTTGCATGTGGTAAAGTTGCTAAAGCTATCGCTGATCTTCTTCCGAAACATTCAGAACAGAATCCTGCAACTAAAGCTCCAATAGGATTCGAAACAGCTCCGAGAGACGCGATCCAAGAAGTTTCTGATTTATCAGCAAACCCTGATTCTAACAACTTCGGTATGAGAATCGCACTAAAACCTTGAGACAATCCTACTGATATCTGTCCCGAGTGTGCAGCCAATCCAGCAAGAATCTGAAATAAGTCGGGGAAATATATATTTATACAAACAAACAAAATTAAAAATTTTTAAGTCATGATCGAATGTTCAATGTTGAGTGAAATTTATGCAATTTCATTAAAAATAATTACAACAAATTATGATTAGTAGATCTGAACGATTATGTTTTATATAATAAATAATAAATAGATCGTTTTGTTTTCAAATCCGATTTAATTTAAATAAAATATTTCTCATTTTATTTATAAGTTAGAATTTTTGTGTACTAATCTTCATAATTATTTCTATTTTATTAAGGAAGATATGAAGTAAAATATTTGAAATATTAAATTAATGATATCTCGTTAATATATACATATATTAATATTGTTTTGTTAGCAACATTAATTTAAATATAAAAGAATAAAAAGAACATTTGAAATATATATATTTCAGCATTGTACTTTACTCATCAGTTCTGACATCACGAAGATGATTAAACAATTTAAAATAATTCATTTAATTGCGAAACGTTAAGAACAAAAGTTAATTTTAAAGTAATCCTCCTCGCAAATTCCTCCATCTTGTCGAAGACATCATTTTAATTGTCGGATGAGGAGACTCGTGTACTCTAATGATCCAAAGAACTCTACTAATTTTGAAAAGTTAATATGGATTTTCTAATTTAGTGAGTTCAATGGGTGAGACCAGTGGCTCTTAACAGGTGTGCTGTGAATTTGTTACAAATTTTCCGTGAAGTTATGAAAATGCGGCATCGATCGATTTGTAGGTAATACATAATCCAATATAATTTTTAATACAAAATATTCTTGTTATTAATTTGATGATCTTAATGATTTTGATGTTGCGCAAATTTTCCTTAAAATCAAAAGTGTTCTGTGACTTTGAAAAGGTTTGAAACCACTGGGTTAGAGTCAGATTGAAAGATACCAAACTAATTTCTCAAACAAATTGAATCAACTTGATTTGTTTTATCTGTTTAAAAATCTGACTATTTTTGAAGAATAAAAAGTACCAAAATAATATAGGAAGACAAAAACTATTTCCTCCTTTACATTTTTACGTTCCTTGATCATAGAAAATGCTTAAGTATTTCCGTAATGCTCAACAATTAAGATATCACATCTACGTGAGTCACGCGTGTTCAGAAATCCAAAAGAACTTCCGTGAACGTGTACCGAAATAATAATACGTTATACACTTTTCTTATTTTTTTTATCACCGTTCACATGTTACATTTTGATGTGATAGAACAATACAAAAAGAAAATAAAAGATTTACCACGTATACACCAATGAATTTTTAATCGAATCAAAGCTATTAAATTTACTTTTCGAATTTGTACAAATTTTATTATCAAACTATATATTTAAAATAAATTTCTTTAATAATTAAGCTGAACATCATTAAATGAGATCAATTTTTATGGTCATTCAATAATATAGCAATGTATATTATTGGAGGTTGCCCCAAAAATTCGTGCTGATTTATATATTTGAAAATATTGACTATTTATAAAATATATATTAAATATAAAAATAAAAATGTTATCTTAATGAGTGATTTTTTTAAATTATCACGAATTTTATGGTCTATCTATACTTAGTAATTGTCTCGAGTTTCTATTTCGTAGAGTTAAACGATTTGGAAAATGAGTTGTTCAATTCATGATGAG